AGGCGGCGCGGGTGGCGGGCCAAGAAATGACAAAAGATAGGGTTCGGGTCGAACCCGACCCGCCCGCAACCCGCAGTTTTTTTTTTTTTTTTTAAAGAAAAAATAACTAGTTATTATTATTATTTTTTACATTTTGGATGGATGGAGATAACTAGTTATTATTTTATTTTTACATTTTAGATGAAAGTAAATTATTATAATGGGCACTTATATACATTATCATGATCTAATGATATTTAAATTAGTGTTACTAGTTTGACTTTTTTATAACATATAAAAAAATCATTATATTCTATTAGTCTAGTAGACACAGTTAAATATGATATTTTGAATTGTCATTTCTATTATCACATTATTGCATATTAAAGCTAAACAGTGAAGATTAATCCACTATTAAAATTAATGTTACTTATTTTGACTTTTAAGGGTTTGTTTTTGCATATTTAAATTAGTGTTACTAGTTGACTTTTAAGGTTTGTTTTTGCAAGCTAAGGAGGAAGATTAATTACTATCCTCAAACATGGTTCAATAAAGGAACACAAGAGCATGCTATTATTTTTAAAAATAAAATTCCAGATGCTTCTATAAAAAAATAAAATAAAAAAAAAGTTATTAAGGACTGAAAATTGGTTAGAACTTATGCAACAAACCAATGGGGAGAGTTGTTCCAAAATATCTAATTGTGGTACTATGAGAAGGTTTGATTTGAGAGCTCTCTCTCTACTACACTTGAATGTTCTAGAAGTAAATTCCTCATCACTCATTTTAACTACACAAATTTCACCATTTACCAACCACTCATTTTACCTACTCAAACTTCACCATTTACCAACCACTAATTTTACCTAAGTCAATGTATTGGTTGAAGTTTGGTGTTACTAGTATAAATAGGAGACATTTGGATCTCCATTATGTGTGTAAGGAAGAGGCAAAGTCCAAGTGTGAGTGCTTTGAATGTCTTGTATGATTATATAAAGTGTGGTGTCCTAGTGTATTTGTTGTATAGTATAAGTTTTGAGTATGAGTGAATAAATGAAGAATATTAGTGTGTGGTTGTGTACTAACGTTTTGTACTCAGGTTTATTAATTGTTTGTGTTACAATTCAACATTTGACACTCTTTCTAAGGTTAAAAAAAAAAAAAAAAAAAAAACAGCAAACAGTCATAATAAGGGTAATGCCAACGAAAAGGAGTCCAAAACAACTCAAATACCTAACAAGAAACAAGGTATCATGTGATTTAGTCTAAGTTTGGGCTCGAAGGAAGTGGATTGGTATGTGGGAGTCATCTAGCTGGTTCTAACAGTTAGGCAGACTAAACTAAGGATTATTTGAGTTTATTCCTTGAAACAATCTAAGGTGCCGGTTTGGTAACACTTACGTTTTCAGTTTTCGTTTATATTTACAAAAATTTTAAAAACTCAAATAAAACTTGTTTGGTAAAATTTTTAATTATAAATCAGTTGGTCTCAGTTTATAAATTTGGCCAAAAAATGAAAACACAAAAAATGTGTTTCCGTTTTGAGTTTTGAGTTTTTTTTTTTTTTTTATCACCCAACACTAGCCACCACCTGCTACTATTTTTTCCACCACCGTCTTCCGCCCACCACCCACCACCCACCCCCCCACCACCAACCACCTGCCACCACCACTCACATCCACCTGTCACCACTAGCCACCACCCGCCACCACCCAGCCACCACCACCTGTCACCCACTCGCCGCCACCACCACCCCTCGCCGCCGCCGCCACATCACCGCCGCCGCACCACTCACACACACCCACCAGCTCGCTACCACTTACATCCGCACACCACCCACCATCCACACCACCCACCACCACCCACCACCACCACCCGTCACCCGCCACCCACTTGCCACCACTGCACCACCACACCGCCACAACCACCCACTTGCTACCACCTACTACCTGCCACCGTCACCCACCCGCCATCCGCCACCCACCTGCCGCCACCACCAACCACCACCACCACCACTCACTCACCCCACCACCCGCCACCGTCACCCACCTACCCACCACACCACCCACCCGCCATCCGCCACCCACCTGCCACTACCACCACCCACCCGCCATCGCCACCCACCTGCCACCACCACCCGCACCACCACCACCACCATCACACACCCCCACTACCTGCCACCGTCACCCGCCACGTCACCCACCCACCCATCACCGCCACCCGCCACCTACCCGCCACCCACTTGCACCACCACCCACCACCTGCCACCACCACCGCCACAACCACCCACTTGCTACCACCTACCACCTGCCACCGTTCCCACCCACCAGCCACCACCCGCCATCCGTCACCCACCTGCCACCACCACCAACCACCACCACCACCCCTACCCACTCGCTACCACTCACCACCTACCACCGTCACCCACCCACCCACCACCAACCCACCCTCCATCCGTCACCTACCTGCCACCACCACCGTCATCCACCACCCACCACCACACCCGTCACCCACTTGCCACCACCACCAACCACTCGTCACCACCACCACCCACTCGCTACCACCCACCACCCGCACCGTCACCCACTACCACCACCACCCACCCGCTACCACCCCCCATTACCCACCATCCGCCACCCACTGCCACCACTACCACCAACCTCCCGCGCCACCACCACCCACTACCACCCACTTGCCACCACCACCACCCACACCAACCACCTGTCACCACCACCATCACCACCACCACCACCACCACCACCCACTCACTACCACCCACCACCCGCCACCGTCACCCACCCTCCACCACCACCCGCCATCCG